ATTCATGAACCTATTGGGCTTCTCCTTTGGCAATTCTTTGGGTTGCTGTTAAGGGAAGTCAATGGGTGCATTACGAAGGCTACCAATGGGAATTGCTTGTGGGTGTAAGTAAGTCTGTCGCTAAGCATACCACTGTCAATATTGGGGGCAGGGTTAGTCTTACAGTAGTGGTAATGTTGCTTAGGAGTAGGAGTCAGTCAAGGCTAGCGGTCATTCATGTGTATTGTTGGGGGTTGGATCTGAGACCATTGCGAAGCTCGTCTTGGGAGTATTCGGGCCCATATTGAGCTCCGGGTATTCAGACCGATATGCCTTTCCCTCGGGGTATTTACATGAAGGGTCGCAAGGAATTGAGAATGAAGCCTGGATCATATATACACCAGAAGCCTAAACGCATATAGGAGGATTGGTGGCCATATCGCGGCACCTCGCGGTAGTTCATGGATCGGGGATTAGCTTTGATATGTATATATATATATACACATGTTTGTCGGTGTCTATGCTTAGGTGCGAGGATGTCGCAACGCCTGCAGGCTGCCAGTCTCGGTGCACCGCGTTTCCATGCTTTGCCAGACCGATATCAACATGTTGGCGTGTCGCATGGAGCAAAAAGCTGGCAGATCACTGAACTCGACAGCACATTCTTCGCAAAGCCCAACCCTAAACCCTAAACCCTAAACTGCAGCCTTCATACCCCATCCACGAGCACGCCAAAGAAATACCTACATCCGTTAGGCCCGACACCCTAAACCCTGGCCTAGAGCCCTAGACGACGTTGTGAGACCTAGAGTCTACTTGCGATCCTACTATGTTATACCCCAAAACTCTACTCTAACTTTTCAGGCACTTCTGCTAAACCCTTACGGAACCCTTCGAAGAATCCTTTAAGGAAACCTTCAAGAACCCAAGTCTAAGCCTACAGTTTAGTACAAATGAATGCGGATCAGGGTTTGAAGCTTAGGGTGTTCGGGTATAGGACTTCGGGTTTAGGGGTTTAGGACTCCAGGATTTAGGCTTTCGGGGTTAGGGCTTCGTGGGGTTAAAAAGGTTTTCGTAAGTAGGGGCTGGGTTCCACCTTTACTACGGAGGAAGGCAACGCATGTCCAGTACAGGAGCTTATTGCAGTGTAGGATGTCGCATGTCGTGGTTGAGCGTGCTTTTAAGACGATGTTGGAGGCATAGCCGACCTCCTGCATTCTAACGAGCTCGGCACTGTCTTTGTTGACGACGACTTTGTGCCATACCCGTCCGGCATGCAGGGTGAGTAAGATGCACACGCTCTTAAGCATTTCTCCAGTCTCAGGCATCAGGCTTCTTAAGCTTTCGATCAGTACAGCATCTTACGCAAATCGAGAGTAAGTTGCCCCAAGTCCCACCCAGCAGTCTGGGATGTCCACGGCCAGGCTCGACAAGGAGCTGCTCTCGATTCCTGGTCTTCGAAGACTAGGTCACTAGGTGATGTATGTTTTTTGTTAGATGTTTAGCATCCTGGGCGGGGTGCTGCTGATGCACTCGGTTGCGGGTTGCGGAGAAGCTTTAACTTGCCTTGCTGCAGGAGTCTGCATGAGCAGAAAAGTTCCGATTTCTGCTGCCACTCCCTCCCTAAACGCTAAACCCAAACTGTAAATCCAACTTCACCCTGAACCCCAAACCCCTAAACCCTAAACTTAAAGATATCCCGGGCTTTTCAGCCAGGAATTCCCCTGCCACATTTCCCGAACTGTCAGGCGGCCCCAGGAAGAGGAACGTGAAAGTTCCGCTCCGAATTGGACAATGTATGTATGGTACTTAGCTACTAATTAGATTAGGGTTTGGGGGGCCCATAATACTACACTTATAGCAAGGACACCCCAAAATAGTATAGGCAGTATAGGTAACAAAAATGGCCCCCATATTCAAGTATAGGGTTTAGGGTATACCCAGACAGCCAGTTACCAATATAATGGGGCCACGTCGCAAAAGCATTATGTGATCCGAATGTTTTTGAGAAAGAGGCAATTAACTGAGCATCTGAGGGATTATCGTCAGAGCCCCAGAGAACACGCAAACATCAGGCTTGCACAAATACGTTTTCAGGAAACCCTCTTCTGGGTCTCGATTTGGGATGATTTTAAATTTCGCTTATTGCTGAGTATTGAACCCTAATCATATAAGTATTTCGGGGGACTGTTGAAATCGACACCTAGTCTTGGAAGTGCCTTTGGATCCTCTTGTTGTTGTGTTTTCTCGGGCCAATAAAGTGGGCTCTCGACCGTACCGTTTCAATCCTGGCTTCTGAAAACCGGCATCTGACAAGTAGATCAACCCACATCGGTTGACCTGCCTGCCGAGGACAACTCGGCAGGCTTCTGACCCAGCCTTCGCACGGCAAAACATGCGTGCGAGGACACATGTGCTACTGTCAAGGCTAACCTTAGACTTAGGCCCAAATCAAGCCCGAGAGTGCCTTGCAAACGAGTTTTTGAAACAAGCTAAAACCCTATGCTTTTAAACAAACCTATGTGCCATGCTTTGGAGCTGCGAGGACGCAAGCACGCTCCTCCATCATCGCTGAGCCTACCTCCACAACCCCGAGTCCGGAGCCACGAGCCCTAAACCCTATTCCCGGGGCCTATGCCGGAACTGCATGAAAGAGCATCAGCACCCCCAATCAGCGGTGGTGTCTTGTGGGGCCGAGGGAGAGTGGGTAAGATTGTTCCCCTGAGCCCTAGACCTTGTAGTACTCTTCGCCCAGCCTTGAGCCATGTTGCTGTGTTTGAGAAGCCAGGCTACGAGAGGCGTGGCAATCCACGCTTTGATTTGGGGTCTAGCGTGTAGGGTTTAGGGTTCAGGATCTTTACGATACTCGTAGCACGAATGGTGACGCTATCAAGATCCACATGTCGGAATGCAAAAGTTTCTGCCTCAGCGTCGTCGTTGTGACTGCCGTCGCTGCCGCTGCTGTTGTTGTTGCCGTCGCTACGTGTGGTGCTGGGGCTGATTCTGCGGTGACAAGCAGCTCTTGCAACTGCAGATTTTGCAGGTGTTCGATTCTCGCAAAGCCTGCAGCGAGGCCTTCCGCCCTTGCGATTTAACTCGGCACGCCCCACGCATGGACAGCAATTGTTACTATCATGATAATGCTGTTATTCCCGCTATTATTGCTGCTTGGAGTATACCATTCTGGCTACTTTTAAAAGACTGTCAAGGCGGGATTGCTTCCAAGCTTGGCACACGCTAGGTAGACTGCGAATGAGGCAACTAGAGAGTGCGACTCAAGCTATGGCCTGAATCGGTGTGTAGTTGGAACAACGGCATAGAGCGGCGCTTAGGTGGCAGACCCTAAGCCCTGAACCCTGGACATAGCATGTTCCTTAAGCCCCTCAGCTAGGTCCCGAGGGGTTTGCAGATAAAATTAAGAGGCACGCTTCGGGATTACATGTAGTCTTATGTTGTTTAGCAGTTGTGTACCGTTGTTAGTTCTGCTATTGTTGCTGCTGGGCGTACGACTATGATTACATTTATGATTGCTATTACTAGGGCTCACATGTTATCAGTTTGAAGTTACTGTACTGCTATACCCTAAGGCTTTAAGGCTCCAAAGTAGTTCCTTTTGGGGGTTCATACATGGAATCCTATAAGGTAATCCCAGAAAGGAACTACTATGGAGCCTCTGGGTAATGCCATCTACTGAGCTCTAGCTTTGGAGTTCTGGTTCTCGGGAAACCCTGAACGGGAGCATCATGGGGAATCCTTTCATCCGTGCTTTACCCGACCCCTACACCTAATCCCGAAGCGCGAGACCCTTAAGAAATAGCCCGAGTGCCCAGCGCCCCGACAAAAGCTCCTGCCTTATGGTGCCTATGCAGCTAGCAAGGGCTGGTGTAACAACGTTCGTGATTGATGCTGTATGTGTATCAGTATTGTTTGCTTTTACAAGTGTTATTAACTATTATCATTGCTGTTTTAGTTTTAGGAATTCTCAAAGCATGTGTCGTTTTTCTTTTTCAAGCGAGATTATTATTGATGTTATTATTGGTGTTCCTAAAATATCATCTGTAAACCCTGAACCGTATGAAGTACAAAAAAGCCCTCAAGTGAAGCTCACTAGCTACAGGCCAGCGAGGAAAAGTTGACCTTTCCCGCTTTCCACCATGGAGGCGCCTTTCCCCCAGGTACTTGGAGATTCATGGGTAGATAGAAGTGGGGCTATACTTAGGGTAACTAGAATTATATCCTATATTGGGCAACTAATACCCCCACTTTTAACTACCCATGAACCTCCAAGTAGTATCAGGGAGACCTATTAAAAGGGGACCCTCCTCAACGCTACTTATGACTCTCTGAAAAGGAGGGCCCTCCCTGAGAGGGTCTTTATCCCCAAGGGTACCCCTAATCCCAACGCCTACGTTCCAAGAGGGCTCAGGTTTTGAGCGTCTGGGAGTTTAGGGTTTAGGGAGTAACTACTAGTAGGGTTTGGGGTTTAGGGCGTGTCGGATTCAGGGTTCGTCGTTTAGTGAGTTTAGGGTCTGGGGAGTGTAGCGTTTAGGCAGTCTAGGGAGCGGTTCAGGGTTTAGGCAGTCCAGGGTGTCAGGCATGTGACTGTGAGTTTCGCTGTATTTTGGATGTCGTTCGGCTGCCCGCAAGTCACCGCTGTGCTTGGCAGCTTTCCAGCCGTTGCATCCATCATACTGTGTGTTTCGAGCCATGGGTTCATCCTTTGATTTGTCTCATCTCGGTGTGCAGCTGACTGAGCCGGTGGTTTCGAGGGGTTGTTGGTGTGGGCAGTGGAAGGAGTTGGAGAGCGGCATCATCTACATTGTCGCAAGCGGCGTCTCGAAGGAGCCTTTTTCCACAAAGTCTCGTCCGGTCGTCGTGGTGAACAACCCCGACTATGGTAATCGACGAGACTTCGAGATCGAACCCGCAGTCGGCAGCCGGTGCGCACAGCTGCTGTGTCTGTCGGGCCATGTAAGCACACGCACGCATGATCTGGTCGACGATTCAACTCCGGGAACACTGGTTTGGTACAACCGTGCAACTGGGCAACTGCGTACCTGGCAGTTTTTGTGGCAGGGATGGCACCCCACGTTAGTGCAGCTGATGGGCGAAGTTGGAGACGATGTTCTCAGGCTGGTTATGCGAAAGCTTTCCGGTGAGATGATCTCCAGGGTTACAATGCCGCTCAGCACAAGCTGGAAGGAGGCCAGAAATCTAATGGTGCCAGGGCTCCGAGAGTTGCTTTCCAAAAAGCTCGTTTTCGTTTCGCCCATGGGAACAGTCTTAACACCCCTGCAGAACGAGCAGCCGCTCAGTGAGCTTCTCGGGTGTGTTAATTAATGTTTGAGCTGTCCTGGCACTCCCCATAGATCCCCTTATTGGGGACCCTAATTATACTACTAAAAGGGACCAGACAGCGGAGGCTCCCTTGTGCAGTCTCCAAGAGAAGGCACACGCAAGCAGCAGCTTCTAGAAGCAGCTCCACTCCTCGGGTTGCTCTGGCTCGCCGCTTTAATTTTGCCCACTTGCTCGCCCAAAGCGGTGCTTTCGTAGTGAAACCCGGGGCATCTGTCCCCACGATCTACGGAGCTCTGCAAGTTTTGTCAGGCCTGTTCGGTGTCTGTCTTGGTGCAGCTAGGTCAGCCTTACCGCAGGAAGTTCAGCCCCAGCTCAGCCAGAAAGTCAACCGAACGAGCATTTCATAATGTTTGATCAATGCAGAGTGAAACCATGCCACACACACTGATGCCATGACCCCGCGGTGTAGCGCAACAGTGAATACCAAATAATATTGAAACTGGTCCGCAGGACAAGGAGACCTGGTCCCAACTCCGGAAATGGTTGTTTTCACATAGCAGACGCAAAGGAATGGATTTTGTTGGAATGATGAGTAGAGTTTTCAAATCATTCGCTGTGCGTACATGTCCTGTCAATTTGAGAGGCTGCCATTCAGGGAGGCGGTTGACAAGATAGTCTATGAATTCTGCCACGCACGACGACAAAAAAGAAACCTTGTATGTTAACCGCGACTCCTAGCGGTTATCTGTACAAGAGCTACATGAACTGCAATACATGGTGCCCAACCAGCACATCACATGTTCATGATATTTATCGTATTGGTACTGTCTTCATAACGGCTGCAAATTTAACTCATAGCTGTTTCATACAACTGCCTGCAAACACTGGCCTAGATTCCGAAGCCATATTGATATCATATCCTGCCATTATAAAGTTTGAGTCGCAACCGAATCTGGTTGGCCGGAAGTCATAGAACGACAGAACAGAAACGCATAAATTTTCAATGCCAACCAGTACAAAAATCACGAGTGACTCACGCATGAAAGTATCTGATGACTGCTGAGCTTAGCAGTTCGCTAAACTCTCAAGGCTGACTGTTCTCAGCTGCACCAAGACGTGCAATGCACGGCCTCAGTTTGCAGCTTCTCATTACTAGGCTCCGCCAAGCAGCCCTAATCAGGTTTAGGGTTTAGGGTTACTGAGAAACCAAGTAGAAGACAGAATCCGCAGAAAGCTTGGGCAAGCTGGGAAAAGCCAAAGTTGAAAGCCAAGAGAATCCTAAAACCAAGTTAAAGAACGCTAACTATGCCCTACAGCGAGCCATCCGAGAGCATTCTGCCAAGGGCGAAGCACTGAAATTCCCTACTAGTACGGCCTAAACCTTGATTCAGAAGCTTGAATAGTTACAGTAGTTGGCAATGTTATTCCTCAGGGCTCCATCCTATAATGATCCCCCCAAGCCCTATTCTAATTATTAAGGCCCCTAATATAGAACCCTATTATAGATCCCTAAAAAACCCTTTGAGGATCCCTCTAAAGAAGCCCTATTCATAATCTAGTTTCGAGGGCCCCTAATAATTCCGAGCCCCAGGCCCCAGTAAAGCCCGAACTTGGGGTTTAGATAGGAGTTCAGGATAGGAGATAGGGCTCGTGCCATTTTTTTAGAATAGCAGGGTTTAGTGTTTAGAGTGTGTTGAGAATGTTATCCTTGTGTAACCCACAGAGACTAACACATGTTCAAGTTTAAATCATGCTTTCACATACTTTGTCAGCCCGACAACACCTGGGTTCTGAAGCACGCACTGCACGGGCAGGGCTAATGCTCCCAGAATGGTGCTCTTGCCGCAAAGAGGCACGCTTGGAAGAGCCTAATGCCGAGAAGTCAAGATCGTCATTACTGGTATCTGTGGGTTCTGCTGCTCGCAGGATTTATGGCACTCCGGAGGCTGTTTGGACGCGAACTTTCATAGAGGTTCAGTAGGATGCGTCGAGTACTGAGTACTGCACAATTTGCGTTGTACTTCATGAGCAGTGGTGGTTGGGCGTAAGAGCCCTGAATTGCTCAAGACGCTAGCTTTACTCGGTAACGCAACATAGCTACAGGGATGCGCAGATGATGTATGTGTGTCGGCTGCTGCAAAAACACTTATCTCAAGTCACAAAGAAGCACTGCCGTCACACGAGGTGCAACCCCATATAAAAATCAAGTAGCACAGCCTGTACTTTCACTACATTGTGGTTTCACTTAATAAGCACGCTAAATGGAACTAGATGCCGCGCAGCATCATGGCCGAATGCTGCGGTTTATTCATGGCCGCGCTCAAACCTCCGTGTCCGTGCGTTTGGACCGAGGTTGGCAGCCGGCAGGCGTGCACAGCCTGACATCCAGAGTTGTTTCGAATAGCCTGAACAGCCTTTGCGCTTCTATGTCAGTCACGTGACTCTGTAACTGCGCGTTTCCGCCGGCTCATAGTGCTTAAACCGCTGGGCATATAAATAAATATATATATATATATATACATATATATATGTGTGTATGTATACACAGACATATACGTATACACATACATATACATATACTTATAGTTATACCTCTACATATACGTATATATATATAGAGGTTATATAGGTAGATACACACCTGGGACGATGTCGAAGATGTCTGCTGGTTGCCAGTCTCGGTGCACCACGTTTCCGTTCCGTGCCAGACCGACATCATCATTCTGGCATGTCGCATGCAAAAAAGGGTGGCAGGTCATGACAGGTCGCCGCGGAAGCCCACGTACATTTTGCATGATCAGTTTGGGCTCCAGAACACTGCGGACTAAGTCGTACCGTACCTGAGGAGCCATACTAGCATATTAGTACTTAGAATAAGGTTTTGGACCTTACTTGGGAAGGAACCGAAGTATCCCCATCCTGGCTAGTAAGGCACATATATGACATCCTACATCACGACTAAGCTTCCAGGTTTGAGATTGCTTGTGTTATCGTTCAGGGGGATGAAGTGTTCGCAGTGGCTCCTGGGGTTGCGCCCTACACCTCAAACCTTATAAGCCCTCATGATACCCTTCCACAGTACCCTTAAAGTAGCCCTTGACAGAACCCCTGTTCTAATTACAATTGTAAGGGCCCTATACTATACCTTTTCAAGTAAGCCCTATACTCTAAAACCCGCACCCAACAGAATCCCATAAATCCCTATAGTTGGACAAAGTAGTAGACCCCAAACCCTAAACCCTTATCGTTACCCTTATGGTAACCACTGCGAGGAGCCCGGGGTCCCTCACGGATACCCCACAAAACTTGGTTTAGGGTTTTAGGGTTTAGGGTTTAGGGTTTTAGGGTTTAGGGTTTAGGGTTTTAGGGTTTAGGGTCCGGTGGGAGCCCTTCCTAGGGTTCGGGGTTTAGGATGTGGTAAACCTCTTACACCTTCGCGACCCACTCAAAACCCTAAGCCCTGTAAACCCGTACACTCGGAGGTTCCTGTGTAATGATATAAGTCCCCTAATATGGGTTATAAGTATAGTTACCCTACTTATTAATACCCCACGTATAACTACCCATGAACCTCCAAGTAGGCCCGGCCCTAAACTCTATACCCTTCTAGAATCCCTATAGATCCCTTTAAAGGGGCCTTTAAAGGAGCCCTTATAACTACCCATGAACCTCCAAGCAGAGCCCTAAACTCTATATTAGAATCCCTATAGATCCCTGTAAAGGGACCCTAGGGACCCTGAATTAAGAACCACTTGCATGGCAGAGCCCTTACCAAGAGAGGCGCTGGCCGAAAGCTGGCATCCAGCGCATCAAGAATTGGAAGTTGCCCGAGGCATGCTCCCCAAGTTTTTGGGGCTTTTTGGGCTTCGGGTTTAGCGGGGTTTGGGGGTTTGGGTGGCTTTAGGGTTTAGGATTCATAACGGGTTTTTCAGCGGTTTAGGGTTTAGGGTGGCTTAGGGTTTCGGGCGGCTTAGGGTTTATAGTTTCTTAGGGTTTAGGGCGGTTTTAGAGGTTAGGGACGTAGGTTTTGAGGGGAGGCTGGGTCTCGAACCCGTGTTAAACACCGTTGGGCCAAATAATCTTTCGATTTGACCTTTGAGGTCTGGATGCATTACCCCGTTTCCGCAACACCGCGAAAGTTGCCAAAACTTAAGACTTTGCACCTCGCAGATCATCACGTTGTAAACTTTGTGAGTAGACTTACGTGGACTGTCTCTTTGCAGAGTCAAATCGCTGTGTATTCAACTTTTCCAGACTTGGTGTGTTTTAGTTTGCCCTGCAAGCTCTGCAGTTTGATTGCAAAGGTTGCGTTCGCATACCAGCACGTGCAATTTCTTTGCAATCTTCAACCAAGAGCAGCCCAACTTGCTGATCTTGTGGATCCCGCTTTGTTTTGGAAGCTTTTCATTCCAACTTCGAGTTCTTGTTGCTGTTACGAGACCCTGTGTTTCCATTCTGAGCACCACCAAGAGCAGAAGCATACGGTGTTTCCCTGTCGCTTGCGAGGCTGACGATGGTTGCATGAAAGTAAAGTCATGCGGAGGTTGAAGCTACTGCTCGTGACAAAGCCACTGGTGATGAGCACGATGAGATGAGGATGCTGGTGCTGCTGCTAGTGAGTATAGTGCCACCCGGTTTTCTTGGCCTTTGACTCTTGTTGCTGTACCTACGTCGTCTGCCAGAAGCACGACGCTCTTTCCGGCCTCGTGTTCTGCTGACTGCATGAAACTGTTACCGGAACGATGACCTGGAGATGATGACACGAACGGCAGTGATCGTGGTCGTGACCCCTAACAGAAACAGCTTCGTGACTTGGCTTACTCCCAGTACATATGTAGCCGAATTCGCAACCACAGTAGTGCGCCTCTTTCAATACCAAAGAAGTTGATGCTGCCGACAGTCGTAGCTTATCGTAGCTGTAGCAGCTGCGGTCGAGGAGGACCAGCTTGTTCGCAGTTGTGTTTGTCGGTGTTAGCAGTTCGCATGTTATTTCGACGCCACTTGCTGATGGTACCATTATCCTGACCCCTCTTTACTGTCGTGTCTTCGCATGTTACCGTGAGTGATCATGCAAAACGATACGGCAGGTGCTACTTCAACAAATACGTACTGCAACTGCTGCAACAGGTTGCTGCCAATAGAATCATGATGCTCATGATGCTGAGCCCGATGATTGAATAATGTGGCCCTGTGTCAGAGTTACTATTATATACGGTTTGTACAGCCGAGTACTACCCCTTGAATGATCCACAAACGACGTATTGCCTTTGAAGCCTGCAGTCCAACCCACTGAACCCTGAGGATCCAGACCCAAAAGCCTTGCACTTCACACACACACACACACTTAACGGCATCACTACCGACAGCGGTAGCAACAACAGCAGAATGCTCAATGATGTTGACCACTATTGAAAAAACACTGGTAGTAACAACTCATGTCCGCAAAAAAGTGTGTTTCCATGGTGGACCAAGCAGATCTATGGTGACGGCCGGCAAACTGACAAACTACTACGTTACTTACCCAGCCGTAGTAATGGTACAACCCACACCCGGCCGGAGGATCCAAGAGCCTACTGTTCTCAGGGTTTAGACCATATTTGGCGGCTTGAGGCCAGAGGTAATCTTTAAGCAGGTGGAGCCAGCCTTCGACTTGTTCGCGTGTGACGACCCAAAGCCTCAGCCACAGTAGACTGTGGCAACTGGGTTTCGGATCGAATTACTTTTTCGTAGATATGCGAGTGGAACTTATTTTGGGGTCCTTATAATAAGGATCCTATTATTTAGGGTACTATATTGAATTCCCTATTTTCGGAAACTCCCATATTTGGATAAGGGGTTGAAGAGCAATAGGGCTTAGATGGCTCCATTTCGGGCTCTCAACACTTGATGATGTGACCAGTTACCCTAAGGCTCCAAAGTAGTTCCTTTTTGGCGTTCATATATAGAATCCTATAAGGTAATCCCAAAAAGGAACTACCATGGAGCCTCTGGGTACACCTATCGGAATCGCGGAGGCTTTAGCCTGGCTTGTGCGTTTATTGCGTGATTGTCATGACTGAGCCCCTTTTCAGAATTGCGCGATGTTGGGGTCAACACTTTAAACAGGCTTCCCAACTGTATGACCTTACACGTATGTGGCTCAGGTTTCACTCTGTCAGATACGCCATGTTGAAGCATGTCACTCTTGACAGATGGCACGGGGGGACTCGAGCTTCTACCTACGGCTGATGATATAAATCCTGCATTACCCGTAAGAAGGAATATGCCATAATTCCCGCAGTTTAGGGTCATGCAGGATTTATATCATCAACCGTACTGAAAGGACTTCCCCCACCCTGAGACTTCGGGAAGCCAGGTTGTTGGTCTTTCGGCGGCTGGGGTAGATGGTTCTGGGCGGGATGAGGCATCTTGAGTACAAAGGAATGTTCATGAGACTTCCCATATGAATTTTGTCAGCGTGCGTGAACAAGACCTGTCGGGCCGAACTCCCCCGAAACCGCTGAACTCCCAACCCGAAACCCTGATCTTAACATCGGGGAAGAGCACAGTGATTCCTGGAGTGCAGACATACGAAAGACTTCACCCCTGAACCTGAATGCCATCCCCTCCGGTCTAGATCAGATTATTTTCCGCCGTGAGTTTCTTTGACGGCGAGAAAGCCCTCAGCCACGAAGGCTGGTTGCAGACGCGCTGAGCGAGGTGGTGCCATGGAAGCGGAAGAGATTCCATCATGCGTGGTCCCCGAGCCCAGGGAGACATGAGCCTGGAAAGCGTCCGGGGGTGTGAAGAAACCGTTCAATCCGTTCGTGGTTAGTGCCAGCTGTTCACAACGAGGATGACGAGGGTGAGGGACATATAGGTCATGGAAGTTGTGGGAATCCGGAGGGTGACTGCCGATCCTTTGGTTGAGAACGGGCCCGACGACTGTTGATTACTTTCAGAATCTTTGAATGTTGCATGTTAAGAGGAGCTTCATAGGAAGCCACGTGCAAGGGTACATACTCCCCTGTCTGGAGCCGAACGCTGGTATAACTTGTAGTCCTTCGAAGTTCGGCGCCTGGCGAAGCCAAGTGACTTGCACCTTCGAGTGTTTGACTTAATATGTCGGTTAAACTACCGGCTATAGGGCCTAAACGACAGGAACTTCCTGTACCAGCACTTTCCTAGGAGTGGCTCCACAGAGCCTGCACGCACCTCCGCGCGGGAACCCAGTGGACATCTTGCTGTGAGCTCCGTTTTTTTGAAAATGGGGGACCCTAGTATAGTACCCTAAACAGTAGGATCCGTATTATAGGGACCCCATAATAAGGTAATAACCCCCCATGTTCGCAGATTTTTTCTCATTTCCGATCGGGTCCTCGCAGTGACATTCTAGTGCTTACAGCTACTGCTGATGACAAAAATCCTGCATTACCTTAAGGACCCTAAACTATGGGAATTCTGAATTATGGTATATTCCTTCTTATGGGTAATGCAGGATTTGTATCCCTAAACCCTAAAAACCCTATAGATCCCTTAAAAGAACCCCTGAAAGGTACCCTTATAGCTCCCTTTAAAGGAACCCTAGGATTTGTATCATCAACCGTACAGCCAGGGACTCCCATCTGCTTTGCCCACATGGGTGGTTGTCAGAATTAGGGTCCCTTTCTGGGTCCCTAAAATAATACGGCACCTATTATTTAGTGTACCCCCCAAAAAGGCCATAATTTTGAGAACTACCCACATGGGTGGTTGTCAGAATTATGGTCCCCTTTTGGGGTACCCGAAATATAAGGTGCCGTATTGTAATATAAGGACAAAGGGGCCATAATTTTGACAACCACCCACACCTTTAGGATTTCGTTTAGGGGTTAATGCCCCAGGATTCGATTATCCGCAAGACTCGTGAAGTAGCTCGCAAGCAAAAAGTTGAAAGAGCCTCTTGAACTCCAAGAGTTCAGACTGCATGGGGCCGTACTGTGTACTAGGGTTTAGGGGTTACGGTCACCCTAAACCCCTAAGGGGTTTAGGGTTTAGGCCCAGCTACAAAAGCTGTGGGTTCGGGCCTTGACTGAAGCCTTGTATCGCCCAACTGCTGACCCGAGCCTTTTGACTAATGCCAGCACTTCCTCAATGGCCGAGATTCCACATCCTGTTGTTCAACGTAGTTGAAGGTTCATGTTTTTGTTGCAATCAAGCGGTGATATAGCAAGAAGATGTCATAAGCCTGTCGTTTCGACAGTGATTGAACTTTATCACCGTTGCCACTAACCAAGCCGCTAGAATCTCAGAGAAGGGTTCGAGGACGTAGTAGGCCGCCTTCATGCATCGGCTTACGGCTTCAGCGTGCGGGGCTTTTGGCCGCAAGACTTAGGGGTACTTAGAAATAACTTTTAATTTGTGGTTATCCCTATAAGAAACAGCTAAAATTATCATGTTTGCTATAGGGTTCTAAGTTCAGTATAGAAGAGCCTCCAAGCGGCCGAGCCTTGGCTGGGCCCAAGGTACCTTGCTTCCTGAAATGGAGCCGCCGGATGTGCTTCGGGTCATACTGGCACGGGCCACGGATGGTAGGGTTGCGAGTTTGCGGAATCTTGGATGTCGCAAGGGAACGGCCGACATCAAACGAGAGGGTATGGGATGGGGTCGGCAGAACCAAAAAAGGAGGGAGAGAGAGAGAGAGAGTGAGATAGAGAGAGAGAAATGCAAAGAAGACCCAACGAGAGAGCGTGCCGTATAGGCATGGAGCCAGCGGAGCCAGGACTTTCATGGCCCTCTGAAGCTTTATAACTTTATACCCAATCATGACCGTTATGGTGCCGGCGTAAACGAGCAATCTACATGTCTATAAGGCTCCAGACTTATATGGTGATGAAAGTTCATGCGGAGTATAGACTACCACCATGTGTAGAATCCCGATAGAGTTTTCCGAAATGCCTTGTAACGCTTCCTGAGTCTGCCTCCAGCTACAAGGCCTTTGGGGAGCTCTACACAAAGCGCCGGCGCCATAGCCTTCTTTTCCAGGACTTTGAGTTATGTTCGCGCTTCGGGCTGCGACATGGATTGTGATGACGACCCTTGTGGTGATGGTGATGAGCAGCATCATGATGACCACGAATGCAAGGCGGACCATGATGGTTGTTATGGCTCGCCGAAGACGAAGAAGACTATGCTGATCCTGATGGCCACAATGAATGATGGTATGTCTTTGGTTTGTCCCTTGAAATCCTTGGTAGTCTCGGCTGCGCCTGTATTGTTGCTGTTCGCCCAGCAGGAACTGGGCATGAACAGAGCGGCCACACTGAAGATACTAAGACTACGAGCCACACAGACACTTTCGTTTGACTGGACTGCGGGCTTGGCTGGGATATTAATGCAAGTTGGTGGTTCAGCCCGAACACTGTTTGCTAGGAGTAATTCAAGGATTTGTTTGCAGTGTGGTAAGCCAAAACAGTCACTCGACGGGTACGCCTTGTAGTATCCGGTATAGTCTTGTAGTGACCCTGATACTTTCCCTTGCAGTATAATCCTTGTAACGCGCCAAACTTTCAACTCGCTAAGCCACATTAATAGTAAACCGGGTAACCACTAGAGGGAGCTTGGAGCAAGTGTGTTCCAGGACTATGAGACCTACACGCAGCTTTTCCAGGCACACCGCTGGCCACACTGCAGAGGGCTTTCAGGGGTTGTCCAAGGGGAACTCGTGATCATCGTTTCTGTGTTAATTGCTGATTTTTCCCTGCGCGTACATGCCGCATCTGTCTTCGCGAAATCTTGCGTGCACCAGAAATTCAGAATTTTTTCATGCTGCAAAGCACTGAGCTGATTCTGAAAAAAACCTTTGAGTTTCCTGTGACTTAGGAAGCGGCGATGCTTGCGAACTTGTGACCGTTTCAGGCGTTGCCCATCGATGCGGCCACGGAAAAAAGTCTGTTGCCGCTGATGAGGCCTGTCGCTGACATCCACAAACGGCCAGTGTTGGAAGAAGAGACTCCAGTATCGCTTGTTTACCTGACACGATACTCCGAATTTAGCTACTAGCCAAAACGATCATGGGCTTCAAAACCAAGTCAGACAAGCTCTCGCAGATGTCATACGTACCGCAAAGCCGAGCCTACAAAAGGTTCACGGTGATCAGCATCGCGAGGACTGCCGATTCTAGGTTCGCTACGATGAGGAGGGGGGTAACTCGAGGCATGAGACTGACTGTAAACCACAGACCTTACTTGGAGGTTCATGGGTAGCTATAAGTTGTATAAGTCGGATTATAAGTCCCTAAATATGGGTTATAATTATGGTTACCCTACTTCTAACTACCCATGAACCTCCAAGTAGGCCCTAAACTGCGCGAAACCATGAGACAGCTCGAAGTCTTTTCTCGAGTAGCGAGGCCCACCATCCGATTTGAACAGGTTCAAGTTCAAGCCCTTCAAAGGTCAGGAGGAGCCGGAAAGATTGTAAGAATAGTCTCTACAAGCCCTGTATGAGCATTCTATAATTACCCCAAAAAACCTGTTCTGATTTGCTGAGCCCCTTGTATTACAACTCATTGTTTTGTCGGCACTTGCCGGGTGGCAGACATCGTCCTTCGTTGTTTGAAGTTGAAGTCTTGGCCGCCTTGATGGCTACAAACAGGCGAAGCCTCGTGCCGACACATCTGCTACTTTCGAGTTTAGGATTACTCCTCTCTAACAAGTCCGTCCGTCACAGCATGGGCGAAAGGTGCTACCGCCGCATGGGCGTCCTCCACGAGCCATTTGTCAGTGCCGCGCCCAATGCTCATCAATGCTCCAGGGCACACGGAAGTCTGTCATTGCTATCTTTAATCAGCAAGCACCCATTCAGAACTTGCCGGCCTGGGACTAGAATACGCATCCTTCCGAGCTCGTATCTAGTCAAGATATTCGCAGGCAGCCTCCAAGGAGAAAGAAAACTAGGTGCCCATTTGGGAAACTTTTCAATTCCCCTTATGGTTCCGATAGAGGTACCTATTCCTAAACACTCTTCAGAGCCCCAAAACCAGAAAAAGCTTCTAAAGCTCAGGCCCTTGCCATCTATATATATATATATATATATATATATATATACACATGGCAGTTAGGGTTTAGCCTTTAGGTTGTATGTAGTCCTGTTATGGACCCTAAACTGCCCTAAGCCCTAAAGCCCAAAACCCTAAACTTCTCGGCCACGGAGTTGTTTGCATACCACAACCCCAATTAGGGTCCCTTTTAGGGTACTTATAAGTCTACTTACTACATACTTACTAAGTCCCCCGACCCTCCAAGTACCCAGGCGCGATGTGCAACCGCGTGGTCGAGGGTGAGGCCTGGAAGCGCTGACTTCGCCGGAATTTTCGGCTTTAGGGTTTTAGGATTTGTTTGTTCGTTTGGGGTTTTAATTTGAGGGTTTTAGGGGTTTGGGGTTTTAGGATTTGTTTTTTGGGGGTTTTAATTTTAGGGGTTTAGGGTTTTAGGATTTGAGGTTTTAGGGGGCTAGGGACTGTTTTGACATCCTGCCGAAGGCCATGACAGAGACTGAGGTTCAATCTTAGGACCGACCTAAGCGCTGATATCCGGAGGCATCATGTCCTCGGCTGGAGAAACAAATCCCCCGAAACGAGGGGTTTCGGGTCAGTTTGTGTTTTGCAAGGGTTCAAGGGCTTTGGGTTTCAGGGTGCGGACACCAGGAACATCCCAAAACCTTCGGCACTTCAAGTCCACGACCGGTCATCCCCAAAGCTCTAAGCTCGAATCCGAGCTAGCCGTCACTAAAATTAGCCATACCCCCTATAGCCCCTATCGTAATGTCGTTTCCAGATTAAGATACCCCCCCAGATTAGACGGGGCCGTCCCGGGCATGTCATGGGCTTAATGAAGAAGTCCATTAGACCCCACCCTAATAGTACCGGAGCTCATTTAAACCCCCCCCGATTAGACGGGGCCATCCCCGAAAATCCCCGAAGTAAGGATTTAGGGGATTTAGAGGCTTATGACTTAACCCTAAACCCCAAGCCCGGGACCAGGGATTTGCAGGCCCTTTGCTTTGACCTAGAAAGCCCGAAGCTTTGAGATGGAAGGGTCAGAGATCCGTGGCCTTGGGATCCCTGGGATTTCGGTGATATCTTCTGCTGCCAGAAACAGGTGGTTCCCTAATTAAACCGTATATAAAAAGAGTAGGTTTGTCAAGTTTTCCAAGGCTACCCCTTTGCAGGCCCCGACCCCCCCAGAATAGCAGGAACCCCCCCCCGATTAACAGGGTCCGGCCCGGAACCAGGGATTTGCAGGCCCTTTGCTTTGACCTAGAAAGCCCGAAGCTTTGAGATGGAAGGGTCAGAGATCCCTGGCCTTGGGATCCCTGGGATTTCGGTGATATCTTCTGCTGCCAGAAACAGGTGGTTCCCTAATTAAACCGTATATAAAAAGAGTAGGTTTGTCAAGTTTTCCAAAGCTACCCCTTTGCAGGCCCCGACCCCCCCCGAATAGCAGGAACCCCCCCCCGATTAACAGGGTCCGGCCCGGGACCAGGGATTTGCAGGCCCTTGGCTTTGACGTAGAAAGCTCGAAGCTTTGGGATGGAAGGGTCAGAGATCCCTGGCCTTGGGATCCCTGGGATTTCGGTGATATCTTCTGCTGCCAGAAACAGGTGGTTCCCTAATTAAACCGTATATAAAAAGAGTAGGTTTGTCAAGTTTTCCAAGGCTACCCCTTTGCAGGCCCCGACACCACCCGAATAGCAGGAAACCCCCCCCGACTAACAGGGTCCGGCCCGGGACCAGGGATTTGCAGGCCCTTGGCTTTGACCTAGAAAGCCCGAAGCTTTGAGATGGAAAGGTCAGAGATCCCTGGCCTTGGGATCCCTGGGATTTCGGTGATATCTTCTGCTGCCAGAAACAGGTGGTTCCCTAATTAAACCGTATATAAAAAGAGTAGGTTTGTCAAGTTTTCCAAGGCTACCCCTTTGCAGGCCCCGCCCCCCCCAGAATAGCAGGAAACCCCCCCCGATTAACAGGGTCCGGCCCGGGACCAGGGATTTGCAGGCCCTTGGCTTTGACCTAGAAAGCCCGAAGCTTTGAGATGGAAGGGTCAGAGATCCCTGGCCTGGGGATCTACTATTATACTACTATAATACTACTATACTACTGTACTACTACTGTACTACTGTACTACTGTACTACTACTATACTACTGTAATACTACTATACTACTGTACTACTACTATACTACTGTACTACTACTATACTACTGTACTCCTATTGTACGACTGCAATACTTTACTAAGTACTCTCTATCTACTTACTACTATACTTAATAATTAACCCCATCCCCACATAATCGGGGGGGGGCCGGGAAAAACTTGAACCCATGAACAAGTTCAAGCGGGCTAACCTTGACAGCGGGGGGGGGGGGGGTTTGTTAATTTGGATCCAACATTAACCTGGATGACTTACAATACTCATCGACATACATATATATATATATACATATATAGATAGATAGATAGATAGATAGGCACTCCACGAGGAACCCCAGCATCTTAAGACAGCTAGGCACACAACGCTGCAAGCAGGTGGAGCTCACTCCTTCTCAGCTGTCCGAGTTGGTGCAGATCCTCTCATCGCAGTTGGTCAGGGTAGGGCTTTGGGTGTAGTTTCTTCCCTGTTCAACTTGTGGCTGAATCAAAGGAACTTTGCAGCTCGGTAGGGCCTCATGTGCCGAGGTTCTAGTCTTATTGGGAGGTCGGGGCCAATGCAGTAATCTACCCTAAGGGTCCATGTACCCAAATAACATATACTTTGGGCCCAATGTACTTGTATAGGGAGTACTTTAAGGCCAATGTATATACTATATGAGTACATGGACCCTTAGGGCTAGTCAGAGCTTTCCTCACCTAGCGGCCTATGTTTCAGGCCTCGGTAAGGCGGCAAAGGTCAAAGGAGCCACCAACCCCAAACCTTATAAAGGGGTCTATAAGGGTTACTATAAGGGATGTATAAGGGTACTATAATATAGGGGCCTTAATAATCCTATAACTTACCTTGGGTTAGTAGGGATGGAGGAATGGGGTACAATTATAACTACCATTACTACCCTTCTTCCATTCCCTACTAACCAAAGGTAAGAATATCAATCTCAAGTCTTCGAGCAGAAGCACCAGTAACTAGATTCCTTGTAAGAGTCCTAGGTCCATACGCTGCATGCATGAAAGCAGATGTACTTATGCGCCCTCAGCCGTATGCGAAGCCAGATCGTCCTGATGGAGCTACGAACTCGAATCCGAGTTTATACGATGTGATCCGAGACGAGTGTTGCGATCCATCCTGAGATGAAGATGCCTTGACATGTCAATGGAGTAAGAGGTGCATGGGATTGTTTATGTGTTGCAGACGTGAACAAAGGGGAAATTTTCTTTTCCTTTCATAGCGTGGGAGTGTGCGTGCGGTCGAGAGTCTAAACTGGAGGACATATTCAGAAAGATGGTGACCACGAAATGCAATCATGCTTCTGGAAGTAGACGGTGCCCGTGAGAGGGCGAGGCAGAGCAAAGATACGTGAGTAGAAGTTATCAGTTTCGAAGTGCTGGGCACGGGATACTCCTGCTCCTGCCCCTGCTGCTTAATAATACGAGTAATGATAATAGTAATAGTGCTGCTCCCGCTGCTGCTGCTACTACCACTACCACTACCGCTATGCTGAAACCGTTGCAGACACTCGGCGTATCTTGAATCTGAAGTCTTTGAGAAGCCAGTGCGCCCAGGATTCACGGAGACTTGAAGATCAAATCTCCCAGGCAAGTGCACTCGAGATCGGATCTTGTGGGTGGATGTGAGTATGGATGTTTACCGCTTTCTGTTTTTAAGAGGCAGGCTGAGGTCGGAAATCGAGCATTCGATGGAGCGGTCAGGCCGCAGCAAGATTAGCTGCGGCACGAATCATGGTGCTGATTCGTCTTGGTATGGCATACACTTGCTACCACAATGTGGCTGCAGCCAGAGAGGCAGAGGGATGACACACCCTGTCCAGGAAGTGCGAGCCCGCGCCGCTTTCTTGGAACTGCGGCATGAGTGCCTTGTGTCGCAGTTTCGGCTCTGACTCATAACCCAGAGTGGGCATGTGCTTGAAGCTGCAATTCCGGAAGCCATCGTCGCAGAAGCATGCGGCCATGGGCCTGCACGAGCCCGCATTTTGCCAGCAAAGCCGAAACAGCCTCCACCTCAGCTAGACACAAACTTATCCAACTCCCCCATTTTCCTGCAGGTGCCGCACATTCAAAGAGGAGACAGCCGTTAGATTCGGAAGTTGGGGGGAACGGCTCGCCGCCCCCGCTGCTTGGAGCCATACCCTGCCCTACGGCTTGCCCCGGGTCTCCGGGTGGGGCCGGGATGGTGCGGCTCACCCTCGAGGACGATGCAATATCGGGCCGGGATAACTCGTAGTAGCATGCCCCTACAATCCTTACGCAAGTATGGTATTACCCCCCCCCCCTCTCTCCCCCAAAAAAGATTAAAACTAGTTAATATTCTAATACCCCGAGATGATAAGTTGGTTCTCGCAGTCCGGGGTGATCGGAAAAGCGACGGATGGTCTCACCATCGTCATCACTATCCCAGATGGTCCAAGTACCCAAATAGTAGGGTTTTAGGGCCCAAAATCCATACTCTGAATGGTTTTTGGACTTTGAAACCCTACTATTTGGGTATTTGGACCCTCAGGGTATAGTCATTGCCAACACCTTCGTATCACACCTGTCGTTATGACGATAATCAGTAGCATGCCAGTGGGATCAGTCTTGTAGTTGAACCTCGCTCCCCAGATGCGCTGGGTTTCATGATTGTCAGATGTTCTCTGCATCATGGTGGCTCTCAGCGTCCTTATTGAGAGAGCGGTGTATATTTTTTGGCGGGCCAGGACTCTGCTGGCGCTCTGGGCAGCCAATACCTGACGACCGTGACAGTCGGGTCAACGCAGTTACCTGCCGAGAAAGTGCCGAAGCTTCCGGTTTCGCTATTCCTTAAGAATGCATTACTTCAGAGTTTGTCTTTTGTGTGCTTGCACCTTCGGCTGTTACCTATGTTGATGCGCATTCTGTATTTTCTTGCTCAACGGTAAACACTCAAGATCCTGGACCCTGGACCCTAAACCTTACACTTCCAAATGCTCCAGATCCTAGACCCCTGAGTTGAGGGGACCATAGGAAAAAGCCGAAAAGGAAATCGAGGCACAGGGAGCGGCCAGTTCGGCTCCGATTCCGAGTATTACTACTATTCCTATATTGCTGTTGCTATTACTAGCATTAGTACTGGTACTGGTACTAGGATGCACAAGGAAAGCCCTACGCACCCTCAAACAAGAATATCAGGTCGTCCGCGCAGAGGGGGCCGAAGAGCCATTTCGACTTCCCTAGTGTCGCCGGCACATCAGAGACAGCCCAGGCGCGGCGCAGGGCACGACCCGGATTCCACAAAGAGCTGTAAGCCAAATTTGCCCATGCGATTATTATTTGAGATGTTTCAATGTTATCCCTCATGGTGCCTAATCAACAGCAAAATATTTGACAACCTCACCCAAAACCTTATTCGGTATAGTCTAATAGTCACCCTGCAAACATCAAATGTAGGCAGTCTCAGTCCTAGATGAGAACGGTCGACCACACAGCTAGACAAAAACATACACGTAAACCCTAAACCTCTAAACCTCGGAAGTGGAAACACTGCAACCCAAACCCTCAGACCTCTAGAGCCCTCATGAACCGCTTGAAATGACTGGAACCAAACGCTAAAGCTTACGGAACCCTTATGAACCCCTTTCAGTGAAGTTGCACTTTCCCTCCGCTTCCAGGTGGACATCTACCGGAAGGTGGGAACCTGCAGCTTCGATTTACTAGTTATTTTGATACCTTTAAAGCTATTAAACTCATAAGAAAGAGTGATATTTTTAAATAGGTTTTAATACCTTTAAAGCTATTAAATTCATAAGAAAGAGTGATATTTTTAAATAGGTTTTAATACTTTTAAAGCTATTAAACTATTAAGGAAAAAAGTGGTGTTTTTGCCAGTGAAGATCCGATCCTGCGCCAGTTTGCGGGTTCGGTGTGTGGAGGTTTCTATAGGGGCCTGAATAGTTACCTACACTGCTTTGGGAGTTCCTTATTATAGTGACGGTGGGCCCCAAAATTTTAGTCTAATTGTTAAGGCCCCTATGTTAGGGTCGATCGGGATTACGGGGTTTATAGAGCTTATAGAGTTAGGGTTGGCCGCGGGATGTGCTTAGGAATGAGTTCAGGGTTCAGGGTGTTTGTAGAAGAACGCCCAGATTATGCCTCCAATCATTGGTTCAACTTCGAGAATGTGTTGTCTGATGAGGTGCGTGAATTTGGATCCGACCTCCTTGCTTTCGGCTTTGTGTTTTAAGTCCTTTCAAAAAGCCATGTTTTTCGTTTTTAGGCCCTGCAAATACGTCAAACCCTGACCGGAAACTCTAAAAACCCTAGCCCTAGCTGTAAACCCTAAACCCAAAATCCTCTCAGGTAAGGTCGCGTTCAATCCTACGACCACCGAGCGGGTGTCCTGCCAAGTTCAACCGGATGGCGAGCTCAAGGACGGGTGTGTATGGGATTTAGAGCTTAGCGTTTATAAGGTTTAGGGGGTACGTTTCATACATAAGGAATCCTAATAACGGCCCAAGGCGGGTGTGTATAGGAATTAGAGCTTGGGTTGAGGGTAAAGGTTCAAGTATGTAGTCCTTATTTATGGTTTTTGGTACCCCAAACACCTCAAAGGCCTGCAAGAAGGAGTACTTGGACCCTCAGGGTATGGGACAAGGGTTTAGGGATCAGGGATTATTTTAAGGTGTAGAGTTTAGACATTTAGGATTAGGGAGTAGTGTTTAGACATTTAAGGGGTCATAGGGTTGAAGAGAAGAGAGGATCCATTGTCAGTTTTTCTTTTCAGGTTTGATCCTGCTTCGTCATGTTGGGGAAGTCATTGGGCCTGTTGCCGTGAAGGGAGCTGGCAACGCTATGAGTTTTGACCGACTTGAGTACGGCAGCCTTGTCAGCCTTCTTGCGAGCACCCATGTGGGAGTTTCCGATAATTTTGGGTTCCTTATTCTGGGGTCCTTACGATAAGGATCCCATTATTTAGAGTACTATACTAGGGTCCCCCATTTCGGGAAACTTTTTGGGGAACTCTCATATGGACCCTTACACCCTAAACCCTTTTAGGAGCCCTTAGGGTACTCTTTTGAAGGAACCCTAAGGGTCCTTTTAGAACCCTTGTGGATCCCTGATAAGAGCCCTTAGGGTACCCCTTGAAGGAACCCTAAGGGTCTCCCATGTGGGTGGTTATCAAAATTAGGGCCCTTTTTTGGGTCCTTATAATACGGCACCTAATATTTAGGGTACCCAAAAAGGGACCATAATTTTGACAACCACCCATGTCGACAGAAGCTCGAACACCTTACCTGCTGCACAGACTCTGGACTTGACGCTGCAGACAAGCTCCTTGTTCTCAATAGTAGTAGTAGTAATAGTAATAGTAATAGTAATGGTAATGGTAATAGTAATAGTAATAGTAATAGTAATAGTAATAGTAATAGTAATAGTAATAGTAATAGTAATAGTAATAAGTAATAGTAATAGGATAGGAATAGGAATAGGAATAGGAATAGGAATAGGAATAGGAATAGGAATAGGAATAGGAATAGGAATAGGAATTGAATAGGAATAGGAATAGGAATAGGAATAGGAATAGGAATAGGAATAGGAATAGTATAGTTATGGTAATAGTATTAGTAAGATTCTTCACGGGCTTGGGTCTAGGTGGGGATTGCTTGAGTCTGCTTGGAGAAGAGCTCATGAAACCCAAAAGTTTGACATGGTAGGGAAGTCTACTGTGAAGATATTTGAGGTTAAGGTTGGTTCCGTCCAGCCGCTCACATAAGAAAATCCTGAATCATGAAAGGGCCACCCTCGCATCCGTTTTTTCGCGCCGGCAGTACTAGAATCTTAGAATGCCTATATTGTTGCAGTCGTGTGACGAACGTTGGTTTCTGTCACACCTCGTGCGAGTCTTATGTGCAGACCCGCTCCCATGGCCACAAGTATCACCGACTAGAAAGCCCAATAATGTTGAACCCCGAAAGCTTAAAATCAACTCTACATCCTATGTTCTGAGAAGAAACCCGCAGCCGCAAGCTCCCGTAGAGCTTACACCTTCGATCCGGGGGCCGTTCTGGCAAGCCGGGTCATGGCTCATGAACTGTGTATGTGTATATGTGTATGCGTGTATATACCTCTTCTGTATATGTATATATATATGTGTAGGTATGATTTATTATTATTATATATATGTATATATATACATATATATATATATATATATGTATACAAACACGCGTACTTGCAGCACATGTTTGTTCTGTGTAGTGTGCATCTCTCTCTGCCTCGCTCTTTCCATGTCACTCTGTGATACATTCTGTACAATTCGACTATAATGTGTATGACACCATTCAGTCTGATGTATTTTTAGGAGAGAGAGAGAGAGAGAGAGAGAGAGAGAGAGAGAGAGAGAGAGAGAGAGAGAGAGAGAGAGAGAGAGAGAGAGAGAGAGAGAGAGAGAGAGAGAGAGAGAGAGAGAGAGAGAGAGAGAGAGAGAGAGAGAGGGAGAGAGAGAGAGAGAGAGAGTAGCCATTTTGGCTCAAGTCGACCTGCCGTCCTCCTTGTGGGGGCGCTCGAGAATGGCCCTCTCGGCCCTCGGAGAGTAGCCTCCGTGGGCTGGGGTGGGTGGACAT